GCCTGTGGCTCAAGCGGTGAAGGCACCAGCCACATACACCTGAAATGGCGGGTTCAAATCCAGCCTGGGCCCGCCAAACAACAGTGACAGCTGCAACCAAAAGGCAACCTTGGTCCCACTGGTAGTCACTCACTGTTGTCCCTTCACTCAGACCCTGGCAACTGCTAATCTATCTTCTGTCTCAGTTTTTTACCAACTTTTTTCTCTTGTATTTTATCATAAACATTCAGGTAGGTTGCTGATCTTTTTTTTTTTTTTTTATTGTTTGGGATTCATTGAAGGGTACAAAGTGATCGTTTTTTCTTAATCATCACTGTAAGTTTGATTTATGCTTGGTAGATAATATATCCCCATGACTCAGCTGGGTGACTGTCAGCAACCAGATCAGCAAGCATATCATTACCAGCACCCTAGGAGCCCCTTCCTGTTCTTTCACTCTCAAGGTTAACTGCTACCCTGACCTTTGTCCCCATGGATTGGTTTGCCTCTTTTTGAACTTTCTACATGATGAAATCATACAGCATGTGCTCATGTCCATCTGGCCTCTCTCATTCAACATCACGTTAGCGTCATTTGGAGGAGTGTGTATAGGAATAGTTCATTTTTTTTTTATCACCATGATGGAGACTGTTACACTATGTCTAGTACTATAGTCTGTTTATTCTGCTACTGATGGATATGAGGGTTGTTTCCTAAAGTACCTTAGCTAATGCTGCTGCAAAACCTGTGTGTGTGTGTTTTGGTGCACCAACAAGAAAATTGCTGAGTTGTAGGGAAAGGCAAGTTCTGCAGGGTTCCAGTGTTTTCATGCCTCTTCCACACCCATCATCATCTTGTAGGGATTCCATTTGCTACACATCTTCACCTATCCATGATATAATCTTTTTAGTTTTAGCCATTCTGCTAGGTATATGATAAATGTCATTGTGGTGTTAATTTCCATTTCTCTGGTAATCTAAGCTCCTAGAGCCTATGGTACACTAAGGCTGAGGCAGGGATGGGAATAGGACAGGTTGAAGAAGGAGAGAAGAGAAGCCTGTGGGACCTTGGCTATAAAAGGAAAAGAAGAGGGAAGTGAAAACCTTGGCTCATTGTTTGAAGGAAACAGGTTCACAGCTATCTGTGTGCAGAAGGTCTTGACTTTGCAAGGTGTTGGTGTTGAAACAAACTTTAGATCTACACATGGGGAAATGGGGAGGTCGAGCCAGCCCAGGAGCCCTGGGAGCTTGGTCCTGCCTTTTCTAGCCTCAGTAATGGACCAGAGGTCAGCTACTGGCTCAGTCACTTGGGAGGGGCACCGGGCACGTCTGGAATGTCCCTGCAATGTTCTGCCAAAGTACATGCATCCCATGACACCTGCATCCCACACTCAATGGTGACTTTTATTTTTCAGGACCTCATCTGTCAAAGAGAGTAGCTTTGTGGAAAAGATGAAGAAAACGGTGAGTGTTCTCCATGCTTTTGCTCTTTTCAGCGAGTCTCAGCCTTGATGGGCACAGGGGAGAGGGGTCCAGCAGAGGCCAACTTCACTAGATAGAGAAGGGCCCTGGTGAAAGGAGAGTATATGGGCACCAAGCAGGGGCCAAGCCCTGCTCACTGTGGATGGTGTGTTCTCAGTGTGATCCACTGTGGATGGTGGATCCTTCTAGAGCTCCTGTATGCTCATTGTTAGAGTAGAAAGTACCACAAAGAACCAGACCTAGTTGAGTTAATAGCAGAGATTTACTAAGAGCATCTGCATGCAGATTGGTTGCAACCAGGGTAAGGGAGTTCTTTTATATGCATTTGAGTCCTGTTTGACAAACATTCTGGTGCCATTCAGGATTTGATGTATGTGTAAAGTAATATAGTCAACTTTATTATTCTTTCTTTTTGTGACTTCTAGACTTTGAGTCATAATTTGAAAATCCTTCCCCACTAAAGATATAAACGTGTTCTTCTATGCTATTTTCTTCTAGTTTTTTATGGTTTAGTTTCATATTCAAAATTTAAAATTTGATCTACTCTGGGCAGTGCCTGTGGCTCAAAGGAACAGGGCTCTGGCCCCATATGCCAGAGGTGGCGGGTTCAAACCCAGCCCCGGCCAAAAACTGCAAAAAAAAAAAAAAAAAAAATTTTTTTTATCTACTCAGAATTTGTCCTGGTATGAGGTGTGAGATATGACCCCAAACTCTACATTTTTTCACAGGTGTCAAATTACCATGTAATAGAGTCCATCTTTTCCCCTCAGTGGTTTGAAATGCTACCTTTATCATATTCTTAATTCCCAAATGTATTTTGGTCTATTTCCTTATTTTCCTATTCCAGCACTTTGATTTAACTATCTCTTTATATACAGTATCATGTTGTTTTAATTATTGAGATTTTATAATATGTTTTAATATCTGGTAGTTCCAGGCACTGCCCCGCATCTCCCCCCTCCTCATTTTTCTTATTTGTTTTCCTGGCTTTTATTTCATATGTATTTATTTATTTGGGGTAACAGCTTTATTGAGAAATAATTTATATGCTATAAATTTACTCATTTTAAGCTGTACACTTCAGAGGG